TTTTGTCTTCTTGATATCTTGAATCAAGAAGTAAGAGACTTTAAGGACATAATATTGGCCATCGGTTAGGTAATATGGTTCTAAAACTCTTCACTTATGATTGTCTAATTATCACGGACTGACAGGTTGTCCAACTAATGATGGTTGACAGCAAGCGTGCTATACCTTTGTTGATCCAGCATAGGGACTTTATATATCCACCCGAAGTGGTGTCACAACTTATGGCTGCAAAGACTAAGTGTGATTGTCGGTACCTTTTGCATTTGTATCTTCATTCACTATTTGAAGTGAATCCTCATGCTGGACGGGATTACCATGACATGCAGGTTTATATAGAATCACCCTGGGATCTTTCACTTTAAAGTTTATCTTGTGGTAATTTGTAGGTGAGGTCTATGTGGCATGTCAATGCATCTTCTATGATGAGAAATTAAGAATTGTTGAATTGTAATTGAAGGTATATGCAGTGTTTTCCTGTTCATGTGGGTGCCCTTATCTGATTTTGTGTCACTTGACAATTTGTTGTATTATTACTAAGTTAACATTTCCATATGGTAACTCAAGGACATTAAGCCCTTGGCATACTCAAAATTGGTAAGATGGGTCCAAACTGATAAGTAGTTACTGAACCTGTAGAAAAGTTGATGCATTACATTGATGTTATTTGTTCAGCAACGTTGTCTTCAAAATACTCGGTTGTCGAGCGTTGTATAAATCTTCAATTACTCGAGAAAGAGCTGCTTCATTGACTAGCCCTGCCTTATGCTTATAAATACCTTAATCCTGAAACAACCTTTCTTCAGTGTTCCACATTATAAGTTTCTCACCGTCTCACATATGGTGGATTCAACAATATCATGCCTTTGTTTTTTGGGAAACTTAAATATCTCCTCTGTTTGATTCCGTCATTTGTCTTGGCATACCCATGTCAAACTGGTGTGCCATGGGTGTGAAGAATCCATATAAATTCTTCAAAATACGCAAATTTAAGAACATTATGTACAGGTCATGAGTACTTACTCTGGCATCAAATATATCTATAGATGAATCCATGAAACATAGAGTATCTCCATCGAATTGATCAGGCTAAAAAAGAAAACTGGTGTACAAGTATTTCCTTATGCCTTAAGGTTTTTATGCCGCATTTTTGTGTTTTTTTGTCTTTTATGTCAAGCATAACTTGGTGTGTGGATGTTTTTTTTTCTTTTAATTATTTAATTCATATTTGTGGATTCTATATTGGCGTCCACTGATTTTGTTTCTCCTTGTTATGATTTCTGTAGGTCGAGCTTTATGCTGACTATGATCCAAAGATGATGCTTCCCTTTCTCAGAAGTAGTCAGCATTATACACTTGAGAAGGTTTTTGTGAATGAAAAGATGACAAGTCCCGTTCTCTGGCTTTTTGTTCTTCTTATTGACCTTTTCTTCTTTAATGAACTACGCTAGGCTTATGATATCTGCGTGAAGAGGGATTTATTAAAGGAACAAGTTTTCATCCTTGGAAGAATGGGGAATGCAAAGCAGGCCCTTGCTATTATCATAAATAGAGTGGGAGATATAGAAGAGGTGGGTTCTTGCTGATTTGTAGTCTTAATATTGCTTTTCTGAATTTGGAGTTAAACAGACTAGCCTTATAACTACTCACATGCAGGCCATCGAATTTGTAAGCATGCAACATGATGATGAACTCTGGGATGAGCTGATTAAGCAGAGTCTTAATAAGCCTGAAATGGTAAACCATCACCTTCTTTTTTCCTTCTTTGGTAGAGCATAGGAGACCGTATAAATATTATTTTAACGTTTGCCGTTTGGGATTAAGTTGCCTTATTTTTTTACAGGTTGGTGTATTGTTGGAGCATACTGTAGGGAATCTTGATCCACTTTATATTGTAAATATGTTGCCCAATGGCTTGGAAATACCTCGGTAAGTTTGTCTATCTATTAAGTAAACTCTCACATTTTCATGGGTATGACTCTCAAACAAGATACATAAAGTTTTTTGCTTTTATTCTTTTGGCATTAAATATTTATATTGCTGGCAAGTCTTCTTGAATAGTGAACTAGGAGGAGGTAATACTGTAGTCAAAGGCGCGCTTAAGCCCTGAGGCGTGGTTCAAAACGTGTTGAGCGCTTTGCCTCGCTTTATGTTGTCTTCAGTGTCATCATCAAGGTTCTAACCCAAACTTCTTCTTGACAATGAGCCTCTTCTGAAGAAGTGACAGTCAACAATTGATATTTCAGTTAATCATTATTTTTTTTTCAATTTCTTTGGTCACAAATTTGTCATTCATGTTTTTGATTATAAGTTTTGGACTAAACATAGATATTTGTATTTTTTTTTCTTCCTTTGCACCTTTTTTCATTAAAGCACACGCTTTATTTGCGCTTAGAGCCCCAATGGACCTTAGAGCCTTTTTGCGCTTTTCGCCTTTGATAACACTGGGAGGTAATTTAGACTCGACCTGATATTGCTTTTCCATGAGCATCATAAGTTAATTTCTAGATTCTTAGTGACACTTGTTGGATGTTGTGGTCTGTATGTATGATGTAATAGGATAGTCAGATTGGGTTTGCAATTTATGATGTGAAGTGCTGTTTATTAATCTTGAATCTCTTAGCACTAATCTGAATGTTTTGCAATATTGCATTCCATTGCAGTCTGAGAGATCGTTTGGTCAAAATTGTCACTGATTACAGAACAGAAACTTCTCTTAGACATGGATGTAATGACATACTCAAGGTACATTATTTGTAAGCCTACCTTCCACTGTATTTACATAAGATATGCTTTTGTTGGCAAGTTATGATGAAGTTATTCCGTTGATGATTTGATTGCACTGCCAGGCTGATTGTGTCAACCTGCTAGTCAAATACTACAAGGAAGCAAAGCGTGCAATATGTTTGAGTGAGGACGTTGATCAAGCACATTCCAAAAGAAATCAGCAGAGGGCTTCACATTTAGGAGAGAGAGTCATTAGTATGAAATCCATGGAGGTTAAGTCAAAAACCAGAGGAGGTGGAAGGTGTTGCATATGTTTTGATCCGTTTTCTCTACAGAACGTATCAATTATTGCCTTCTTTTGTTGTCATGCCTACCATACAACTTGTCTCATGGAGTCCACCATTTCCATTGGTGGCGATAAAAAAGAGGCTGGGGCTTCTTCCAAGGGCACTGCGTCATATTTTGAATTTGATAATGGCAGTGATGACGATGATGAAGAAGAAGATGACGAAGATGCTTCTTCAGGTACCCCTCGGATGCGTTGTATTTTGTGTACTACAGCTGCAGGTTGACTATCTGTTTTTTTTTTTGCTTGTTTGGGTGTACCATAGTTTTGTTTGGTGTGTGCATATATCATGAGCATGTGTTATTATTATTTATTAGATAGAGACTGCTTTCTAATGTTCTATATCTGTATTTTAGGAATTTGTACTGTATTTATTGATTGAGTCGAATTCTCTGCTATCCCTTTCAATTATTAGGGACGGCTTAACACATAAAATTCTCCAGATTATTTGTATGGTGCTGTTCTTTTTGGAACAGACTTTGTGGGTTTATAATTCACAAAAAATTGCTTCAATTTCTTGGTGTTCATCTCTCCCTCCCCTCTTTTTTGATTTTTGACATTTAACCTTGTGAAATCTGATTACGAACACCATATCAATGAGAAAGCAGTACGAAAGCACAGTGCTAGTAGTAATGAAATTGAATACTGGATAGAACCAAATTCCTACATTTGGTGTCCTCTGGTATTATTGGTCATATATATAGGATCATCATATTATTCCTGTCATTCGCCTCTCTCGAGTAATTTCATGACACACCTCGTATATCCAAAGGGGCCTAACAAACTACTATAGTGCTTATGGTTTCATATGTGGCAATTCCGCCAAGATCTCTTTGTTAGTTGGGGGAAGAATCCGCCTGAATCGGATTTTTTGAGGAATGTATCGAGAGAGAATTGGATTTGGTTAGACAATGTGTGGTTGGTAAACAAGGATTGGTTTTTTAGCAAGGTACAGAATGTATCGTCAAATATTCAAAATGATTCCACAGGATATAGTTTTGTTCAAGTAACGAATTCTAGCCAACTGAAAGGATCTTCTGATCAATCCAATAGTTGTGAGTTTCTTGGGTCTTTTCTGCTACGCCTATCCATTCATCAATTGACATCTAGAGGCAGGTGAGTAATAGTTAGTCACATTATCAAAAAATTTCTTGTCCTTCTAAAAATAATTTATTATTCACAAGTTCATATCTGACATAGAAATACCATTTATCACTATCCTAAATTGGAGGTGCAAACTTGTTTTCTATTTAAATTCAATTATGATGACAAAAAAAATACCAATATGATGAAGACAGTTTGGCCTTTTATGAATATATTGTCAACCACCACGTGTATATATGGTCAAATATTAGAGGTGGTTAAGAAGCATATTGTACTCCAACCCCCGGCTAGTATGCGGTAGAATGTATTTTATCATAGTAAAAAAAATCTAATATCGTTTGTCTGAATATTTTTTTTTGTTTTGTAATAAATGTTGTTATAGAGAACAAACAACGTAACATATCATATATGAAGAAATAAGAATCAGTTTTAAAGGAAATTTGACCATTAAAGTAAGAAGTTGTTATAAAGATCTATGATTGTATTTTATAAATTTATGAGAGTTAGATCAGAAAAATTTGACTGTTAAAGTGAGAAGTTGTTATAAAGATCTCTGATTGTATTTTATAAATTTATGAGAGTTTTTAGATCAGAAACAAATGTAATATTGTTGCAATCAGTGTTTTAAATGGGGCGAGTTCCACGGCGAGTATTGGGATGGGCTGTACCAAAAACGCTCTTGGGCGTAAATTAAAAACGTAGCGTAAACTCTGAACATAAAAACGTAAGTTTTGGATTTAAAAACGTATGCCTAAGCGTTTTTATTTTTTGTTGCTTTAAAGCATATTTTTATTATTGCTTTAGTGATATTTTTCAAATAATAATTATAATACTTTTTTCTTTATTATTAATACTTGTCTCAAATTTTTAAAAGGTTTACTTTTGCTTATTTTATTAGTAACAAAACTATAAATTTGAATATAGATGAGACTACGCCCTGTAAATTCATGGAATTTACGTTCAAATCTCGAGACTTATGCCTCGTCCCGCATGATATAAAACGCCTCAACTTTACACAGAAAAAAGAGTAAAAATTTCAAGTTTGTCCTCCTAAAGGAGTCATTGAATTACATTTGCCATTCAAAAAATAGTAAGTTTTATTGCTATTAACATTTTTTTTATAATACTACTTTATTAATAACGGTATTTTTTTATTTTATTTTTAATTATATTTTACTTCTTAATAAAAATAATATTTATTTATAATAACAGTGAAATCCTCATTATTATATTGATACACTTTTTGTCAAATCACTATAATGACGATAATTCTGATTGATTTAATTAAATTTCCAACTTCCATTTTTAGTCATTTATTTGCATATTTAAATTAAGAAGAGCAATTATTAATGATGCACAACATTTTTGACAAATGGCTATCAATGCAATAAGTGCCATTTAATCATCATTTTTTTTTAACTATTTCTATCTTCCATTCAAACAATTGTAAGTTCCTATTTTCTTAATTACATTCAAATTTTTCTGTAACTTTATTTTTTTATCATAGTAATTATATTTTAAACTTAATTTTTCACTGCAGAAAAACTCAAAGGGCTAAGGAGCTGACAAAATCAAGATAGTGATCTAAATTATTCACAAGGGCTAGATTAAACAGACAACTAACCTTAAGCTTACAAATTGGAGTTGTAACTTCATTGAAAAATATCATGTTTCTTATAATTCAAATATTCCAAACATCTGATGTTTATATTCGCTAAATTTAGATTCGCATTGGAAAGTTTTTCATATATATATATATTTTTTGTTTCTCATCTGATATTCGATATCCATATTAGAGTCCGATTAAATTCAGATTCACGTCTGTTTTCCACGAGATATTTGATATCTACATTAGAGGCCGATTAAGTCCAGATTCGCATTGGAAAGTCCCATATTGAGGGTAATGCGCTCCCTAACAAAGACGACTCCATACCCAAGAGTCTCGAACCTGAGACTCCTCTTGATTAAATTCAAATTCGCTTTGAGAAGTCTACATAGGGGTAAAATGCTCCTAACAAATGCGACCTCATACTAAGGAGACTCGAATTTGAAATCTCTTGATTAAGAATAAAGAAATATTTATCACTCTATCATGTCGGCAGCATAAGGTGGTTGATGCTTCTAAAGTTGACCAAACATATGTAATACCTATAACAATAGTCATTATTATGTCACTAATCTTTAATAACATTACCTCTCTATAGCCGTTCTATTCAAATATTAATTATTTTTTTCATTACTTATATCACAAACTACAACTCAAAATGTTTTAATTTTTTTTTTGAATTATTTTAAATATATGTGAGTGCTTTAAAAAGTTTTATTCTTTGTGGTACATTACAAGTATTAATAATGTATTAGCAATTAAATTTTTTATTCAATGAGATATGAATATCTTTTGAGATTTTTAAATATTAATTTGTTTTTATTATAACATTTTTTTTTAAAAAAAGACTTTCTGGGTAAAGATCAATTGCTATTATGTGTACATTATTATATATAAATGGTCATTCATTATAAGAACTAAAATATATATATATACAAATAAATAACAAATTCAACTATGCAATACTGAAAACCCTTAATACATGGTAAATGATGCTTCATAGATATTAGGTAGTGTAACAAAATCATTTAATTAAATAGTGCTATACTAATCAATCTAGATCAATATTTAAAACTTCAATTAAGTAATTTGGTATACATTTTTTAAGAAAATTATATCATTTTCATACAAAATTATTTCGGTATGATTTGATATTTTAAGTTTGATTTTAATATTACTATTTGGTAAAACATAATTTATTCAACTTTAATTTATATATACTCATATAATAAAGAATCACCTCAATCTTTTTTAAAAAAATAATCTTAATACATCATAATAACACTTTACACACTATAACAAAAATAATTTTTAGCGTTGATAAATATTGATATTAATAAAGAGCGGTAAAATCTTTACTGATATTAGTTAAGTGTCATTATTAGAACCAATATTGCTAAAGGCTTCAGAGACATATACAAAGAGTGCTAATTGCAGCTAAAAATACATATTTTACTTAATTACCGCTAAATATGAGCAATTTCCTTTAATTTGTTAAGCAATTACATAAAAAATAATTAATTAAAATCAAAATTTCAGTATCCATACATTTGAATTTATACAAGTACTAGCTTGTATGTTTGTTAATATTATAGATAATAATATACACAAATTATTCATATAATTATATATTTCTGTAAGGTATTTGATATTTAGATATTTTATTTAGAAATATTGAATATCAATTTTTTTTAATACATATCATATATCATATTATAATATCAAAATTATGATAGCAAAATATTTGATTTGATATAATACATTGATATCTACCGTATTATGCTCACCCCTAACCTAGATGGAGGGACATGAAAGAATTTAAGCTAATTAATACAGTCAACTGATAATAAATATTTTATTTGTTTCTATTTATGCGAGTTAGTTTAGCCGTATAAAAAATAAAGAAAGACAACTATTTCACTAGCTTATAATATAAATGTTTTAAAATTAAATTTTTAATAAATATAAAAATGTCACTTTTTTAAACCGACTAAAAAAGAAAGTTTTATATTTACAAGTGAAAGGAACAAAAATGTCCTTAGACTATGTAAAAGGAACAAAAATATAAACAGCGTGTATTTCTGAACTAAAATATTGACTGTAAATTTTTTTTTAAACTAAACTATAAACAGATAACATTTTTATTCATTTTTCATAATTTAAAAATGATTTTGACCCTTTTTCCTTAAATAATTAGTCCATTTTGCAAGTGAAATATTGACGTGGACAGATTTTACAAGTATTGCTAAATTTGAATTTTTTAAATAAAATCTATGTCGAAATACTATCCCAAAGAAGTAACAAAAAGAAAGTGGTAGCAGAGTGAAATGTTGGTTGTAAATTGTACTTATCTTTCTATGACTATTTGGTTAAGTAAATGTTGTAATTGTCTTTCTCTGACTATTTGGTTAAGTTTATAACCCAATCAAAATATGTTCGAATCAGTTTACACGAATTTTCAAATAATTTTAAGAGATACATATTATTTTTTATCGACATACAAATTGGATAAATTTATTCACAAAGTAATGTTCTCCCCCTCAATCAACTAGTTCAATTTCTATTTCAATTTATGTAGTCATGTTTGACGGTGCATAGAGTTTCAAGAAAAAAAAAACTTCAGAAATTTTGGATTGAAAATGCATACAGATAATCTTTATCTAAATTAAATAGTTGATCAAATAATATTTATTTTTATTCATCAGTATACATAAGTTAAGCGTTAATTATATATATATATATATTATTACCAATTTAAGCTAATAGATGAATGACTATTCAAATTAATTTTTTATTTGTAGCCCCAATCAATTTAAATGCAACTAATACACTATGAAATGTTTGAACGGTAGATACAAAAAAGTTCAACGTGATATTCACTTACAAATTAAATACCTACCAAACCCTATGTCCATTTTTTTTTTATTTTTTAAATTCAACTTCTCGTTCATTTTCCTTCTACTTCATTCTCACTCTATATATATAAACAAATTGTGATATTGAAAAATTAGAAGTATTAAAACTATATATATACATTATAAGCTTTATATTATATATATTTTCGATTTTAATCATGGCGTTACGTATTAATGAGTTATTTGTTGCGGCTATAATATATATCATAGTACATATTATTATTTCAAAATTAATAACCACCGTCCGGGAGCGGGGGCGGCGACTACCGCTACCGCCGGGTCCGACGGGGTGGCCGGTGATCGGAGCACTACCACTTTTAGGTTCAATGCCACATGTTGCACTTGCAAAAATGGCCAAAAAATATGGACCTATTATGTATTTAAAAGTTGGTACATGTGGGATGGTTGTTGCTTCTACCCCTAATGCTGCTAAAGCTTTCTTGAAAACACTTGATATTAATTTCTCTAATCGTCCACCTAATGCAGGTAAAAATATTAGTAGTAATTTGTTAATATTAAAAAATTATAGTATATAGTAGGGTTATAAATTAAATGAGTAGGGTTAAAAATTATAGCATATGGTTTGTGGTATGTATGTGTTTTCTTGTAGGTAAAAGCATTGTTGATTAAGTTTTTGATATATTGTTCAAATACTTCCAAAATACTGGTAATTTGTCTTTGTGAGACGTAGGACATAAGTTCGAATCGTAAAATTGTCTATCGATGTTTGAGTTATGATAGAAAGTCGGTTTCACATTCTATTGCGACACTGTCCTTTTTCGGATTCGGTGTATCAGCTATAGCTTTTGTCCATATTTTAGGGTAATTAATGACCCCTGATGTAGCTTTTCTGCACCACTAGTCTACTACAAATTCATCTGAACTCAATATTATTACTTACAACTTTTCTATATAAAAAAACACTACGATTGCAACTAGTATTAAATTCATCTGAACTTTTTAAAGGTCAAGCACATTATATTTAAATCATAAATCTATCGTTGTTTTAGAACTTTAATTTATGATTTTAAGGTGATCTAAAGTCTTTTTTTAGAGGTAATTTCTATAGAATTAACTTTTTATACTCATAAAATTAAAAATATCCCATCTAATTTATCATTTTGTATTTAAAAACTCTCAAAATCTTCTAACAATTAATACTTTTTTATTGATCCTTTAAATTAGGTGCCACACATTTGGCCTATAATGCCCAAGACATGGTTTTTGCACCCTATGGACCACGTTGGAAGTTGCTAAGAAAATTGAGCAACTTACACATGCTAGGTGGAAAAGCTTTAGAAAATTGGGCCAACGTTCGTGCCAATGAGCTAGGTCACATGCTAAAATCGATGTTCGATGCAAGCCAGGATGGCGAATGTGTGGTGATTGCTGATGTGTTAACGTTTGCGATGGCAAATATGATTGGTCAAGTAATGTTGAGTAAAAGAGTGTTTGTTGAAAAAGGGGTTGAGGTTAATGAATTTAAGAATATGGTTGTGGAATTAATGACGGTTGCAGGATATTTTAATATTGGTGATTTTATACCTAAGTTAGCTTGGATGGATATACAAGGAATTGAAAAAGGGATGAAAAATTTGCATAAAAAATTTGATGATTTATTGACAAAAATGTTTGATGAACATGAAGCAACTAGCAATGAAAGAAAAGAAAATCCTGATTTTCTTGATGTTGTTATGGCAAATAGGGATAATTCAGAAGGAGAAAGGCTAAGTACAACAAATATAAAAGCACTTTTGCTGGTACGTATCTTCTAAGTATATGTTACGTCTTAATTTACGCGACACTTTTTGTTTTCTGAGAGTCTAATTTAAGTTTGATCGTAAAATTTGCGTATGAAATCTTCATTTTTTTGAAATGAAATTTATATGTGTAAACTACGTGAAAAGTACTATAAGTCACAATAATTGATAATTCAAAATATTTAAAAGATTTATGAAAAACTAACAGTAAAAGGTAGAATTGTTTGAATTCCGAAATCAAAAAGTGTCATATAAAATGAGACAGAGGGAGTAGAAATTACTTGAAACTTATGATGCTTGGCCTCTTACTAAAAAAATGTTAATGTGTTTTTGAATTGTTAAAAATTATTAATACATTTTTTAAGAATCTGCCACAAGTAACATAACGTTCTGAAGAATCATATGAGGAACATAGTCGAAACAAACGTAACCTTATTT